AGAAAAGCCCATAGCAATCTTTCCTTCCTCATTACAGACCCACCCAAATCTTCTCACGCCAGCAATGGAAGCAATAACCTATATGCAGAAGAAAAAACAAGATGCCTAGATCCCAAGAGGAGGCCTGGCTTAGTGAACCTATTCCTGCTACATGGACGAAAGAGGAAGCATGGAGGTAGAAGCGCATAGTCCTGTCCATGTTAAAAGGTGGGGGAATTCATCTCCTGGAACCTGCCCTCACTGGGAGAAGGCAAAGAAGGGAGAGGAGGGGAGAAGTAGAACTTCCCTTTCCTTTTGCTCCTGAAAATGTGGCCCTGGATCAGCAGCATGAGAATCTCCTGGCAGCTTGTTCGAAATGGACAACCTTGGGCCCCACCCTAGATTCATGGAAGCAGGGAATTGGGTTTTAGTGAGCTCAGGGGATTCAGTGTACAAGTTTGAAAAGCACTGAGTTTCCAAATCCTAAATCCACACTCAAATTGTCCTCTGGATCTTTGCTCACTTCCTAAAACAGTGCTTCTACATAGAGTCAGTAGTTAAGGGAAAGATGTTTGAGACATTCTCTTTGGCACTTACTTAATTCCATCTGAAGGGAGGACACTATTTCTTGGAAATCAGCACATATTTACCAATGAGTGGCTGAGACAGGCAGAAGTATACTAACAAGCAAACAAAGCAGTTCTAGATACACGCGCAGCTCTGTTGAGCAAGACAGATGGGCATAGTAAGTCTTCTCTCACTCCATCTCCCTCTTCCCGCCTGGCTCATAATATTTCTTCACTCATGCTATCCATCAGAGCTAATATCAAGCTCCAATTCCTACACAAAATAGCACCACTGTTGCAGATTACATGTGGGTTACATCTCTCACATCCCTTTCCTCAGCCCAAAATCTAAGAAGGAAATAGTGTACCATGAAGCCAAGACACAGTGGAAAAAAACAAAAATCAATTTGGCACATCAATATTTCTCACCTTTAAGTAGTTCTGTCTGTCATGACCCAACTCTCATCTAATCTCTGACAATAGACAAATCCCAGGTTGGATCTTAGTCCCATATTTGCCATCAGCAACCTTCCTTACCTGAGTGGAAAGGTAATGCTAAAGACCCACCTCACCCAATCCCCAATTTCTTCTCTTTGCTCTGATGGACACAATATCTTAAATTAAAAATAACATGAAGTAGAAATAACATGAAATAGAAAAAAGTATGAATTTGTGACACCCCTGGTGGCACAGGCAGGGGTTAAAGACAGTGCTATCCACGGGTGATTTGGTGATGGGAAGCCCACGGGGATTACAACCGAGGTGGAAAAATGCACAAAATGATGTAAAAATAAACTATTATATTATTAAAAAAAAAAAAAAAGACAGTGCTATCAAGCTATCCGCAGCCGCTGCAGCAGGCTAGAGAGCTGACCCACATGGCACAGCAGACCTCTCCTGTCACCGGCTGCTCTACTCAGCAGTGTATTTCAGTAGATCTGCCTGCTCCGCTGCCCACTGTCTCTGGTGAACCCTCTCCTCTCCCTCCTCCTCACCTCTGGTCTACACCCCTGTTATTGTAGGCATAAATAAATAAATATTTTTTAAAAGAAAATAATATGAGTAAGAAAAGTTGGCCATAAAATCATTACAAGATTCAGTAATGACAGGATTTCCCAAAAATTCCTGGAAGTTACCATCTGTGGAGCACTGTCAATGTGACTTTATGATGACCCTTTGAAAAAAGTAGTATCCTCAATTCAGGAGTAAGGAAACTTGAAGTTTTCAAAAGTTGAATAACTTAATCAGGAAGCAGCAAATGAAGAATTCTACACCACACCTGTCTGAATCCAAAGTTGCTCAACCACTGAGTTAAAATGATGTCTCACTTGTCAAAACCACTGCAAACTCACTATGAATACAGAATCATTTTCCTTCTTTGAGGCTAGTGTGAGGATTAAGTGAGATTAAAGTTATTAAAAGTGCTGTAACATATAAGGTGTAATTTAGTACATTAAGACTGTGTCCAAATAAAAAACCCTCAGTAATATATAAACGGCCACTACGTGTGTGAAAAATGTTCACTCTTGTAAATGATCTTAATCCATTTTATTCAACATACAATCCTCATTTATCAAATTAGAAAATACTCTTTTTAAAGTTTAACCCCCCAGTGTTGGCAAGGAAAAACTGTCAGGCACTTATGTTAGCAAACTTCTAAAAAGCAAATTGACACTATATTTCAATACATTTTTTAATTGATATGTAATTTCTTAAAAGGAAAAATAAATTCTGAGACAATTTTAATACAAATATAGTTAAGACATAGCTTGTGGAGTTAGATTATTTGGATTTAAATCATAGTTCTCCTCCTGATTAGCAGTGTGAACTTGAGCAAGTCTCTGTGACTTGGGGTCCAAAATAGGGGTAAATCACAGTGCCTATTTCACCAGGTAGTTATGAGAGTTAAATGAAGTATTACATATAAAGAGCTTAGCCCTTAACCTAGCACAAAGTAAACATTATATATAATTAGCATCTAGTATTTTTATTATCTCAGTGTTGCTTTATAATAACACACAGTTGGAATCAACCTGTCTGACTATACAAAAATGGTTAAGTAGACAATGATACAAACATAATGAATCTTTCATAATATTAAAATGAGGCATTGAAAGACTGTTTAATCACATATAATTTAAAGTAAAAAGAACAGGAGACAAATGACACATATCTACCAAACCACCCAAGTTTGTTAAAACACTGCTCAAATACAGATGTATGGAAAACAGCCAGTAGGAATTATATCCAAATATTAACAGTGTCTGGGTAATGGTACAGGCTGAGGGTCCCTATATTATATTTCCTGTACTTCAAATCCTCTAGAGCAGTACTGATCACATTCTAACAGGCTTGTGAATCACCCAGTGATCTTGTTGAAATGCAGATTCTGGGTCAGTAGGTCTGTTATTTTGTAGATTCTGCATTTTTAATAGGCTCCTGGGTGATGCTGTGGCTAAGGGGCCAGGCCCTGCACTTGAGTCGCAGGGCTTTGGAGCAGGGTCTCTCAAATTCTTGAGTGTGCATCTGAACCAATGGGGCACGTGTATAGGCTGCTGGATCTAGAGTTGGATTTTAGAAGTCTGGAGGAGGACCCTGAATTTGCATTTCTAAGGGCTTTTTTTTTTTTTTTTTTCCTTCCAGGCAATACTGATGCTGCAGGTCTGGAAACCACAATTTGAAAACCACTGCTCAGGAAAAAAAAATTTTTTTCTTATTATCATAAAGGAGGAGGGAGCACTAAAAAACTAGGTCAGCCTTCTCGAGTGCTGACAAAATCAAATCTAAACTCTTCATCTGAATGTCTCCTTAAGCTAACCCAATCATTTCCCACTATTTCTGTTTAGGCCAAAAAAACCAAAATGCTAGCCCTAAACACACCCAAGAAGCGGAACATCATGACTTTCTCTCCAGTTCCTCACTCTGGTTCCCTTTGTTTCCTCATACCCAAATCCCACCTGTTCTTCAAGGCCCTCAAATCCTATTTCTTCCATACAACCTGCTCCATCACTAATCGAAAACCCACAAACACTCCCTTTCTCCTCTGGGCCCACACACACTTTCTGCTCCTCCCTGGTGATACTTACCAACCCTTCCTTGGAGAGCGACTGGGGCTGGTGAACTGCCCCCTGTAGATGGGGGTTCGTTGAGAGGAGGACAGCCCCTTATCTTAGACTTCCCTTGGCATTAGTGAATTCCCAGCATACAGCTGACACTCAGGACTGACTGGAAGAATGACTAGAGGATTAAGTAGTTGCTGAGGAAGGACAAGGAGCTGTTCTGCAAATGGAAACTTAGGCTGTGTACACACCAAGCCTGGTGACCAACCGTAACAGGTGTTTTCCATCTCTGATATCTGTGATTCATTCTGCACAGCTACCCACACATCGAGGTGTCAGCACACCGGGCTCCTGGAATACAACGGCCCCCACACCGAAGTGCACAGTGTTCTGGGGGGAGGGGGTGCACACATGCAGAGACACCTCAGTAACAACGTGGATCCGCAAAAAAGAGGTTCTTCTTCCTTAAAAATATTGCTGCCTTCCTGCAAAGAAGAAGCTAAAGCTTGTGTGTCTACTTCCTTTCTTCCACGCTGCAGCTTTCCTTTTAGGTTTTAAGAAATCTATTGAGGGTGAGTCTCCAGGCGTTTCCTTACTGATGCCCCCTCGGCCCAACCCCCTCCCGCCCCCCCACTTAAGCACACACAAACGCACGCGCGCGCGATCACACACACACACCCCTTTCCACCTCTTATCCCCCCACACTCACCCATCCCCTCAAAACCCCCTCCCTAAACACACATACACACACGCACACACTCACCCTTCCCCCTTCCGTCAGTTGCACACTAGGCGCGCCTCGGAGCGCAGGATTGAATGGGAAAGACTAGCTTTGTCACTAATCCTCCCCTCCTTTAAGCAAGCCAAGCTCCTTCCGGGTCAGCGACGATCACCGCCACCCCAGCCCGACCCACGGTTCCCTAGAACGCTCGGTCCAGGGGCGCGCCGGGGCCAGGTCGCCACCGCCAGTAGGTTGCGGGAGGGGGAGGGCGGGGAGGAGGGCGGACTGCGCGGGAGTGGGGGAGGGAGGGCGAGCGAAGGAGGGGAAGGCAATCCGAGGAGGAGGAGGAGAAGGAGGAGGGGAGAGCAGTCTCCCGCAGCTGGCGAGGAGAATGGGAGTGTGGGGCGATAGACCGCCGCGGGGTGTCACGGCGGCGGCGGAGCTGGCCAGGCGC